TAACAACCCTAACCATTTACGCTTTTCAAAACTCCAGGCCGGACATACCTCTAATGCTGCCCTCAGTTCATCTAACTTGGGTCCCACCCCAAGCAGCAGATTCAACTCCTCCCAAAACGCTTTGTATTGGTCATGTTCAAAACTTTCTGTTGGCACTGGATCTGTGTTTAACCCAGTGATCTCACCAAATTAGAGTAAGCTAAACCTGATAGGTTCATCACCAACTAGACTCCAAATCTCCTTCATTTATACTGGAAGATGTCGACATAGTAGATAGTGGACAGTCCTACCAGACCACACGCTTTTGCGTTCAGCTAGCTTCACAATAATTCCAAGAGGACCCTGCCTCATGTGATCCCACACATCCCGTCCTATTGCTTCTCTGACGTTAGGGAAATCTCCCATCTGTAAATTGTGATTAATCTCTTTATTTTCTAGATTAGAAGCCCCTTCAGCGTAAAGTCGTGGAGGATAATCCCGTGCTTGATCTTCATAAATAGCCATCTGATCCTAAAACACATATATAGATAAATCAGCCGCAATAGTAACAAAACCCAGCCACAACATAATAAATAACCCAACCACCATATAAGGCAGTCGTAATAGAAACAAAACTCAGCCGAAACATAATCAATACCTCAGTCAAAACATAATCAATAACTCAGCCAAATCATAAATAATAAATAACTCAGCCACAACATAATATATAACTCAGCCACAGTAATCAATAACTCAGCCAAAACATAATCAATAACTCAGTCGGATCATAATCAATAACTCAGCCACTTCATAAATCAAACTCAACTCAGCCACACTATACAATAAATCAGTTACAACATAATCTATAACTCAGATACGTCGTAAATCAAACTCGGTCACAATATAAATCAAACTCAGGCACAACATACCAGAGGAGATGAGAAGATGATGTCGTAGATACGATTACGTCGAAAATTTTGCGGAGAAGAAGATGTCGACGAAGATGATATCGGAGACGGTTAGGGTTTAACGAGGTCGACGAAGATGATTTGCAATATCGGAAACAGTTCGAAACGAGAGTATTAGTTGTGACGAAGATGAATTCGTGATTTCGTAATCTAGGGTTTAACGAAAGTTGTGACGGAGAAGTTGTGACATTAACATTTTTTTTGTTCACCGAGATATGGGACTGTTGATTTTCCAGTGTAACTGTTGATGACACAAATTAGTTAGTGACGTGGATTGTCAAAATTATGATGTTGATTTTATAATTAAAATTTGTATCAATAGTAACAAAATTAAACAAGGGTGTTTATTGTAATTTACTAGGAGTCTAAAAACATTCTAGTAATTTTTACAAAATATATACTATTTTAGTTATATACAAACTTTTGTGTATCATTCTAGTAATTTACTCTTTTTTGATAAAAAAAATGAGAGTGATTTTGCTTTTTAAACCCGCTATGTAATTTAGATTTTGGATTTTTAAGTTTTATTTTCCATTGTTCTAGAGTTTTTTTCTCTGTATGAATATATGATATACTTTTAAAAAACACTTGAAAACAAATGAACATATTTGTATTTAAAATTAATATATGTAGATATATGGATTAAATATTAGTTAGTTAATATTAATGGTAAACATTACTTTTCAAATATCCTAAATTTTTCTTATTTTGCCTAAGTATTTTAATATATACTAGACCTTGACCCGTGCGACCGCACGGGTATTAATTTTATTTTTTTAATTTTTATATTAAATGAATTTTTTGTAAAAATTCATTGTATTACATTAAGTTTTTTTTTGTGTGTGTTAACAATTTATTGTATCAAAAATATTGGATATCATACAAACAAATCTAACATGTAGACGATATATTGAAAATATTTTTCAGTTAAAGATATATCAAATCTTAAGAAGTAAGAGTTAATATGGTATACAAAAAAATGATAAATTAGTTATAACATTTCTAAGAAAAAGCCTGATGTTCAAATTATATAAAATTTTTAATATATAAAACATTTGGATTGAAATTTGTAAAATAAAAAATGAAGTATCAATTAAATGGTTGCAAATCACTTATGAGTTTAATTTTGACTAGAATACCGAAAAATTTGTTGTTTGATCCACGCAAGTTTTGTTTTTATATATTTTATAAGTGATAACATATATTTCTAAATTTACCCGTTTAAATAATTGTTTAAAACGACATGTTAAACACACAATTTTATAGTTTATATTGAGTAATTTTATTTTATCTTATAAACTATCATTGTGTCATACTTATTTTTAAAATATGACCCGTATATCTTCACAATTTTTTTTTTTTTGTGCATCAAAGTTTTATGATAATGTATAACTAAATTGTTGTATCTACTATTTAAAATATATGGTCTTTTAAATTTTTTAACTTTTATTATTCTGAATTTACCTTGAACTATTATTTATATAAAAATATACATAACATAATATGTTTATATTAATCTATGTATTATATATTATATAAATGTTTTTTTGTGACTTTTATTTTAGTTATTACTTATAAATAATAAAAATATAATTATATATCTTTGAAAACAATATTGTTCATTAACTATTTAAAGATATGTAGATAATTAATAAGAAAAAAAATCCTAAAAGGTAGATTAATTAATATTGGAATTAGTTATTATGTATATGGAATTAGTAAAACAATTTCTATATAATTTATTTATTTAATTACGAAAGGTATATATGAAAATAATTATTTTCATTAATTATTGTTGACATAATTTTTTTAAGTTAAAATTTAATTTTGGAAATGTATTAATTAAAGTGAAAAGATAAAAAATCCTATAAGGTAGGATAATTAATAACTTCAGTGGTATTCCATTGTAAATAACACTGAACATTAAGGGGCATTTCAATAGGGTACTTCTATTTTAAAAATAGAGATATATTACTCAAAAAAAATATATTAGATTATAAATGTTGGTTCAATCGTACTCTCTAAATACATGTTTGTGTCTCGTGACTTTAAAATACTGTACCAAGTTTTTTGGCAGAAAGAAAGAAACATACCTCCTAAAATCCAGCAAGATTCCTTCTATAAGAGGAAACCAAATTAAAAGAAGAAATTTTCTTGTTTTTCTATATTAAAAGTTAGATAATATCCTTAATTAACTTATTTCTCCAATGGGGTTACTTGCAAACTCGATATAAACGTCTAAGAAAGTTAGAGTTTTATATGTAATATACAACCTTCTCTGCTCCTTTGTTTCAGCATGCTGCCTAATTACATGTTACATAGCCTTATTTAAGCAAAATTTCATTTGGTTTTCTTTGTTAATTAGTTATCCCCTATATATTAATTGAGAAACATTTGAAAAGATGTAACCTCAAGTTTGTATTAATTAAAAAGTAACCTTGCTTAGTTGTCAATCAATTAGCATATCAATTAAACTGACGTGGCGGCTTTAGGTTCAATTGAAATTTGCTAGGGAAAAATAATTAGAGACGCATATAACGCATGTAACATAGTTTATATATTTA